CATCTGCCAAGAAGCCTCCGACACTACCACTCGCAGAAGTCCCAGAGATCAACAGATTCGAACCCTCCAAAAGTGTCCTCAGAAGTTGCAAAATGAAAGGAATGCGGCAGAAACAGGCAAATACCTTGTCCATTGCGAATCACGTGGAAGTTTCGGTAAGGAATTGCAGCCGTGGCATGGCCCTACCATCTCCTCAGATTTGCGGTCCAGGCGCAGGTTGCCTGCGTGGAAGCCGCCCCCTTCCTGCGCCCTTGTCCCCTCCACCTGCAGCAGAGGATGCAAAGCATCCTAGCTGAATTCCGTTGCACAAGTGCAAAGCTAACGCGTGGCTCACGACTCTCATGCCACATATGTTGTATGCTTCCCCCGAGATTTGTGCGCGGAACCATTCCAGAAACAACGTGACATCCGCCTGAGGCCCTCAATTTTTGCGGCAAGCGGCCATCAAGCTCGATCTCCTCAGCGTCACGGTGCCATTGGCCGCGAAGGCGCCCCCACGCTCCACCTCACCGGTCTGGTTGTGGGACATCAGGACCTCCGCATCCTCCAACGTCAACGACCTTGTCTGGCAAACTGCAACACGCAGCACGTCTCTCTGCACGTGGGCGGGAGGCATCTGAAGAGCATCGTTTGCGCCAAGGAGCCCATCGAGATCGAAGCGGACGGACAGGAGCTCCAGCTGGCCCGAGAGCAGAAGGTCGCCTCCGACCAGCGTTCCCTCGCCCAGCAAGGCTGCGCCACCGTGCTTTTGGCCCTTCGGGCCCCTCAGCTCGCAGCTGCTCGGAAGCACCGTCTCCGACCTGACAGGAACCGCGCCCGTGAGAAAAGAAGCACGGACACGACTGCTGCCCGCTGGATCCGCTGGGTCCGAGCGGCTCCACGTGGAAGCAGCGCGGCGGCAGCGCCCCGCCAGTGCACCATGCAGCCAGCTGCTGGGACCCCAGGCTCTCGCAGGCCTCCAGTCAGAAGCAAGTCCCTCTACCCAAGCCTTATAGGCGTTTAAAACAACATGTGTGTATATATATATATGTATAGGGATACAATGGGTATGACTATGAAAAATTGAAGCTACTATTCAAGGAGTAGGGTTTAAGGTTCAGGCATGTTCGGGCGATGAAGCTCCAATGTCCTGTGCCTGTGCCTGAAGCCTTCTCGGCTCGGGAAACCCAGCAGTCTCTGCGCCTGTCAAGCTGGCGGTTTTTTGTGGTATGTACGTTCCTGCCCTTGCAACACACTGCCGGGCGCCTTCCAAAACACCTTCGCTGAGGGTAGTGAGCACCGCTGCCACTGCTGCCCAGGTGTGCATGGCCGCTCGCCTACCTAAAACATATGAAACATAGGTACCAGGTGCAGATTTGATGACCCCCACACTGAAACACACACGGCTACATGCGAATCTAACCATCCAGCAGTTGCTACCCACATGCTCGTCAAGTGTTCGAACATACCTTGCTGCCGAGCCAATGCTGGTTATCTCCTTGGCTGATGGCCCTCCAATCTGTGCAACGTCTTTGCCATATTTGAAGCTTTCTCAAGCCATGAAGCTGGAAGTCTTCCTGCCTTTTCTCATCCCAGCGCTTGCGATGTTCAACTAAAACTGTCTATCGATGACAGACGGGCGCTGCATTAGGAAAAGGATCTCGTCTTAGGATTCGTGAGATGTATCGTCCCTGTGACTGGATTCACGATGATTGGTTTGGCAGGCGTCCCAGCAGCACGGCTAATTCGCTTGCGACTTGTGGCAAGTACTAGGCAACTAGACAAATGCAATTCTACGCGCCGTTCGGAGGAGCAAGATCAGTGTAGCTCAATATGACATGGAATGTGCAATCCGCATCTTTAGTCCTCGCCGTTGCTCAGAGAACGGGCTGCCACAACAAACCAATAAAGCAACGCACAAGAAACTGAATGGGCTTGTGAGTGCCACATCTGTTGTACTGCCTTCTTCAACCCATCTCGAGAAGCAAGGTCTCTGTGGCATCTGCCAAGTTCTGCACATTCTGCCTCAGATGCATCCTACATCACCCAACAGAACATGCCTCAACTATTCACGCTGGCAAGAACCCCTCACGCAATGCAACGTGAGAGTTTACGGGCATGTATGTCACTAGTTCCCAGGCGCTGCAGAATTCGGCTCATCCGCTGTTTAATTTGAATGTCCATATTTGCGAGGCTTCCCATCTTGGATCGTATGAACTGGAAGATTTTCTGCCTGTCCTCCTCGACAGACGCGTGACCTTTTGCGACAGAGAAGATCTGAAGGCGCGCACGACTCCAGGCGTCACACGTTTATGCACGAAGCTACTACTTTAACAGCAAGCGGCAGTTCACTACTTGCAGGGTTCGCAATGCCCGGCCAACTTGTAGAGCAATGTCTGGGGAAGCTCCCTGGTCGCCCAGCACTCCAAGATCTGTTGCAAAGACCAGATTGTGCTGGCGTTCACTTGCAAGAAGAAACTCGAAGAGGCACCATACGCCTCGGACTCCCATGCTGGATCCCCATGGAAAACCCCTGACAAAATGCAACTAAGACATGCCGATTCAACGACACCCAAAAACTGCAGTGATCGACCGGCTTCTTACCGAAAAGACGGCAAATGGGCAGGCTGCTATACGACCAATTGGGTTGGGAGACGTGTGAGTGGCTGGACCTGCTGATCCAGTACCATGACGACCCCCTGCAAGTGTGAGTGGAGGACCTTCGCGAAGGCGCTGTCAAGGACGTCGGTCCCAATCTCACTGGCGATGTCCCACTGGTTGTTGGCGAAGGAGCAAATCCAATAGGTTGGATTTACGGCCCCGGTGAAGGCTGCATGGCGCAGTAGGCACTGGACGAAATGCTGAAATGGAGTGGCCCAACTGTGGGACACAAAGTGAGATACAGCCTTCCCTTGCAGGAGGCCTACTAGGGAAGTCTGTTGTTTCTCGGTGAGTGGTTCCACGATGTTGGCCACGACAAA